GGCCGATCTAATCTCTAGCGTCCAAAGAGGACCGATCAGGGCTCCCCAGGACGCCTAGCTCGGGAAATCCATTTTTTTTCTTCTTTTCTTTCTTTTCTTTCTTTCTTTCTTTTCTTTCTTTTTCTTTGTTTTTCTTCCTTTTTCTTCCTTTTCACTTCGGGGAATGATTCTCCTTTCATTCGGACAACCATATTCTGGGATGAATTCCCGTCAGAGAACATCGCCATTAGAATGCTCCGCGCACAAAACGCGCAGCCTCCGAGACCCAAAATGGAGTCCGGGCATCGAGACCTATGCTGAGAAATCGTTTTGGAAGCATTCGGTGGCGAACTTTTTTTTGCCGATTCTGGACCACTGTGCGGCGTCGACGGCCGCATAAACGCCCTCCTGGGAACAGCGCAGCTTTCATCATTAGCCCACAGATCGAGCCGACCGCCAACTGGAATGAATCTAGGGATACGCTCAACGACAAAGTCGATATTCTCAGACGAGACCACGGCTTCAGAGCCGCAGTATATCTTGCCCAGCCCGGAGAGTAAGAACTTTTTCTGCAGGGAGAAAAGTTCCCGTATCGCATTTGGCCGGAGCCGCTTCGTGGAAAGCAACGGCCCCGCTCCCGTCGAATGCTGACTGAAGAAAAATCTGTTTGCACTCGGCACGCATCGCAAATGGCGCGGCCCTGAGTTACTGGTCGACGTTTCGACGATGAATAAATGGCTCGGAAACTTCCGGAACCGCAGGTGTCGACGAGTCTTTCATCGGAATGTCATTCACCGGGGGTATGGGAATGTCCTGCGACGATACGGGTCGAGTTCTGAGAAAGAAGCGTAGAGGCACTTCCTGTCTCCATCTGCACAGGTGACCTCTGCCATCCTCGGGTTTTGGACGACTTTTTTTCCCAGCCCCGATGCAGAATACACAGGGAGTTTCCTTGTACGTCTGGACTGATCAGAACTCGGCTGCCTCGGGGTCTCTCCGTGGAAGCGGAGACATTAAATGTATGTCGATAGTGCGGTGATCCTTCCTGGTCGATTCTGGTCTTCCCGCCGTGTCTATCTCGAGCCGAGGCATCAAGTGCGAGAGAACTATTGTTCATTAGGAAACGCTCCCGTTGGCCCCCTGTGTGTGCACGTTTGTGTTTACTCAGTTCCGAGGGCGAACGTGCTCTCTGGAGTAGCAGACATGAACGCCAGCTTAGCACTTTTCTCGAAGCATCGGACGAACGAACAAGCCGCCGCGCCGTCCGGCGAGCCGCAAGACCGGTCAGTCCGTTCTCTTCGCTGCCGGACGTCGCATGCGCCGACTTACGATGAGTCGACGTGTGCTTTGGGGAATGAAAAAGTGCGAGCGTTGCCAGGAACATACTCTCCCCGACGAAAGTAATGGACCACGGTGAGGATCATTAGGAGGTTATCGCAAATTACTCGCTCTACCGAAACCGTAAGGAATAAATAATCGATAACTTGATGAATGGATTACCCGCAGGATCTCAAATTCAGGGGGCCTCGAATCACTGGGAGAAAAGTCTGATTGGCCTCGCGGCATCTTCTCCGATAATTCCCGAATCGATTTATCTCCGTTTTGCGCGAGACGATTTCCACCGACGGATAGGAGAGGAGGAAAGTTACCACATGGAATAATTCAGAGAACCCGGTAACGCTCTGGCAATTCGGAGAGTTCGGGAAGAAGGAAAGTGCAGAGGACGTCACGGATCGGCAGGAAATGGGCCTCACTTCCCGACGGACCTGCCTGGAGGGCCCCCATTCTCAACTTTTGGAGCGATGAATATCCATTCCATGCTATCGGGTCCGTTCTGAAGAGAGGAGGATTTTTCCCCAGCTGAACTCGCTCCGAGAATGCTCCGATGTCGCGTCAGCCTATCGAGGCTAATTCAAACCCCCTGATACCTACCGGGAATGGGGCGGTCTCTCCTGACAGAGGGGAAGAAGGGAGCGTCATGAGTCAATTCGGGATTCGTCTCGGTACGTCGGATCAGGTCTCGTTCTCGCGTCTGGTCTAGCGTCACCCATTTTCGACAGGGTCCCGTAGAGTGAGGGGAGCGATCGGAGACCAAAGCTAGATTCAGGGAAGGGGGTTCGCCCAATTGACCGTCGCGGTCCGCCTCTGCCTATACCTTCGTTAGCGAAGGAGACTCAGGCATCGATTCACCACCCCTTACTGAAGACAGACTCGACCCGCAAGTGCCGAGAAGGATCCTAGCGGAGCTGAGTCTGAGAGTTTCGCAGCACCGATTTCGACTTGCTCACTCGATTAGTCCCTCTATCGGGGAGCATCTAAGAATAATAGGGGAAGAGGCTTATCAGTCTGACGATAACATGCTGGGCACCGATCACGTAGAGCTCTATTATCGCCTCAACTCATCGTATGTCGGTTGGGACTGAGTCTCTCCCTGTCCCTGAAAATTTCACGGTCGAATCCGGCGTCCCTGCGGCGTCCAAATATTTACTCCCGGGTGGATAAGCACTGATCCTTGCGAGTCCGCCGTCTTGCTCGTGCCACAGAGGAATTTCTCGGATACCGCTAACTCGGGTCGAGAATTGTCGTGACAATTATCGCGAGCGTTGCTTCGAATGAGGGGAGCGAATCGATGATGATCGCGCGAACGTCCGCTGAATAACTGTGAAGTCACACAAGAGAAATAGTCTTTCCAGAACTTCCTTGATATTGCTGGGGAGGTCCTGCTGACGCACTCTGTCAAGTCTCCTATCTATCCGCCGGCTGCCGGCTTATGAGAGCACGCGAGGATTTCGTATTACAAGTACGGTACCTAGACGTCGGCGAAAGGCCTTCGATGAAATGAGAGAGAGGAAGCTGAACCAGGAGGAGATATGGCGAGGAATTTATGCGGATTCCCGAACATCCCCTCGAGATCAATGGTGGGAACAGGGGCGCGCACAGGATTTTTTTTGGGGGGGGGCACCTAGAGTTTTGGAGGGGGCCAGACGACCGAAAATGATGACGCGCCTACTCGGGGTCCATACTTTAGCATCGAAACCGAAGAATTCTGGTGGGGGCCATGGCCCCCTTCCCCCCCCCCTGTGCGCGCGGGTGGGAAGTACTTCCGAAAAACCACTCCTCGAGCCCACTCGACAAGCCGAGCTACCGGAACTATGGATCGGGGTAAGGACCGAAGCTAGAAACGGGCGGCGATCAGGACAAGCGGCGGCCCTCCAGGATTTTTCCATTAGGCGAGCCAGCTTCAGGTGAACCATCGCTCAGATCGAACACGAAGTGTGCTATACATGGATGTACATGTTCATGCTATACATGGATCACGAACGCTTTCCGGTTGTGGTCATCTGCTGCTTTTCTCTCGATGTATCAGAAAGTCTGGAACTCCGAGATAAATGATACCATCTTGCCCCACCAACGGTACGAGACGGGGATATCATGAAATGGCGTATGGAATTCATTTCCCTCTAGCAGAAGCGAGCTCCATCCCGACGGATGGAACGCTTGGTCCCATGCGATGGTTTCCCATTAAAAGGCACAGAAAGTATATCCGTCCGCAGCCCCACGATGTTCCAGATCTCGCCACAGCACAGATATTTCCTGTTTTGTCCGCTCCGTATCCCAACTTTTTGGAGCTTCCCCTAAATGGACAGGTGTGCAAACCTCGAGCCCATGAACTTGTCAGAGACTATGTTGTGAGCTCTCCGGACTTGGGTTACCTGACTTCTTCGAGGTTGTGATCACAATCGAAAGCCACGATGGATCGTTCCCCGTCCACGCTTCCTCCGGCGGTGTGAGCGGCTTCTCGGAAGATGTGTTTATCCCGAGCCGTGCAGCCGTAGTGTCAGCCAGTAGAGATAGTTTCCATGAAATATTGAATGACTCCGACTCCGAGAGTCTCCCAGAGAGAAGCGACAGTTTGTCACACGGAATGAAAAGAGTGCCCCGCATGACGGCTCACTCTCGCCTTCGCTGCCGCTGTAAGAACTCACATTCCGAACGAGGGCCGTCCATCTACTCAGAAACGTCAGCAGGTCCACGCTCTTCACGTTATGCACGACTACGGATGTCGGTCGAGTCCGCAGAACGCTTTCTCGGCGAGTGTCATAACTCATAACCCGTCGAGGAGGATGCATTTGGCGTGAGTTCATTACAAATCGCTGACGAGTCCTCCGGAGATCGCCCCATCGCGAAGCCGGTCTCCGCGTGGAGCAGCGGTTCTGAGAATCAGCTTGGTGCCCGAGCGATGGTGCGGGTAGCTCTCCGAGGCTTCGTGAACGGCCGGAGTCTTGGATTTCTAGGCATGATTCAGACTTTGGAAAACTACATTCGAGGCGAATCGCATCTCTGAAGTGGGTCTCGTTGGTCCCGAGGGCACCTGTGGATGTTCGCCAGGGCGCTCGGGGCGGTCCCGACTTCCAGCGTACCATGTCCTATCCGATTCGGAAGCTGAAAACCACATCGTCTGAGTTCTGGAGTTGCAAGGGGAAGTCAGCGAAAAAATCCTCTGTAGCGTCGTCTGGACTGAAGTCGAGCCTACTTGGCGCTCATTTGTCGCTCCTGACTTCCTTCGCTGCCAGCTATGGGATTTCTCTTGGTCACCAATAGAGGCATCTTGCGTATCCCCACGTACTTGATTCGCTCCTTTATTCAGTGGATCCCTTTTCCCTCTCATCCCTCGAGTCTTGTGGTTCCTGCCGCCCCGGAATGAAATCTCCGCAAGAATCGCGCGATTAAGGACTGGTGCATAATGAACGGCATCTTGAATGGATGATGCCGGCAATCGACTCTCCGTGGGCAGTTTATTGTTCGGAACGAAAGCCCGAGAGCTTGGATTTCCGGAAATCGCCCGTGTGGACCTCCAAGAGCGCTTTTCGGCATCGAGGCGCACGCGAATCGGACTTCACGACGTGGGGATTGCCAGGATCGAGTTCTTCATCCTGATCGTTATCACTTATCAGATGTCATGGATTCACTATGCTGCAGTTTCAGACGTTTCATTGTATCGGCGAGATCGCAAAGCCACTCGACGCCGGCGCTACATCGGATCCGACGCTGTCTCACCGGAATAGCAAAAATTAAGGCAGGAAAATCCGAGCCCGAGTCCTCAAAAAGCCCCTTTTTCGAAATCGGTCGTCTGTGAATGTATAGATGTTGTCCCCAGCCTGCCCACGATTCAATCGTTCCATGGAGGACCTCGACACAATGCGTAGGGATGCGTGTTCCAAAAAAATTTATTGGAACATACGGAACTATGCATGTTATCGTAAAGGGTATCCAGATTTATAATTAAGTCCGATTCTGAAAGAGGGCGCGAGATATTTACATCGTGAGCTTTATAATTCTCCGGCGGTCTGATAACCATCTGAATCGCTATCATAGGCACGATATCTGGTGGGCCTAACTCTACTCCGGTGGCCCTCTTGCCAGCTGATCCTCCTCGTCGGAGGAAGACCCCGGGGTACTCTGAAAGTAGATCTCTCGAGTGTCGGTCGTGGCTGCCTTGTCTCTATCCGTGGCTGTTCTTGCGGGGGTTGAAGTCGCACGGCTCCGTAAAATAAAGACACCCCCCATCCGGAAAGCTTGAATAATAAAACTAATAGAACCATGAAAAGTACTAGGAAAGCAGGTAGGATACTAAACCATGACTGCTTGTCAGCGAAATCCCTCACCGCGTCGCCGACAGCACCCATGATGTTTACAATCAGGACAGATACTAAGTTCGAAGTGTAGGTCGCGACCATGTCAAACAGCACTTCCATCGGGGTGAACTCCCAAAACATGGGCGTGAACATCTTTCTCAGATACTTCTCACACTCCTCTGAGTTCGTATGAAAAAAGCGTAACGGATTATAGAATGCCCGATTATCTTCACAGGGATTATTTCTGATCAGGATATGGCGATTCGCTTGAGATCTCCTGAGCATGGTCTGCCAATGCCAGAAATAGGATATCCACGCTCCGAATAACAAGAGGTAGCTCAGAGTCACCAGCTTCGAGCGGCATGTCGCGGCGATGTAGACGAAAAGAATCGCGCAAACAGCGATGCTCAGCTGTATGGCGAGGAAGAGATCCATTTCCCCGAGGATTAGACTGAAAGCGAAAATGTCTCAGAATAGTGATTGAGTCCACTAGACAGCCGAAAACGTTGAGCTAAGCGCCTCGCATTCGGTTTCCAGACGCAACTACAGACGAGATTTTTCATTTCTCGGTCACTCGAAAAAGATTTGTGTCTAAGTGAGCTCACCACATATCCAGGTACCACTGGCGGAAAAAAGAATGGCTCTCGACGCCGTCGTAGGTGACTCGAGCCTTATTGATGACATCCTGCATCTTCTCGACCATTCGTGGAACAGAATTCTGATCCAACTTATCGAGGAGCTGTCTGAGTTCCCCCCGTTCCTTCTCACTCAAACTAAGCGAGAGCTCGGACGGGACTCCTGCAAATCAATGTACCTCGTTGATATTTTAGCGGAGAAAATACGAATCGACTATTATTCGGACACCTCGGCCTGTGAGCATAAGCAAGGTCGCTTATGGAGCATTATATCCTGCATCTGGAGCTAACCTCGGCGAGGATGGTGGCCTCCATCGAAGCGATTTAGGATACCAACGATTATTTTCTTCAGGTAAACCAGATTGGCGTCCAGCTTTCCATTGTTGCTCACATCAGCTATCAGCTGAAGTTTCACGAGAGTCGCCTCACATTTCGAAAGCTGTTTCTCCGAAATCTTGAGATTCTTCTGCAGGTCCTCAATTTCTTGAAGGAAGAGAACACTAGATAAAATCGAGCAAGTGGAACGAAGTCCATTCGACAATATGTCACAACGACTTATATGATATCGCATGCAGAATCGGGGCACAGAATCCCGCATTGCCGGGAAAACCTACCCTCAGGCTGCTCGCCGACGCACGGCTGTGCAGTTTCGACAGGGGCCTGTCCGAGGAACCTCCTGTCGCGCCCGGGCTCGAGCCACTCGCTCTTCTCTCGGAGCAATTCATCTCGAATAGAAAGCTGTTCCCCACAGCCGAAGTGCAAAATGCTACAGATCCATAGGAAGGAAGTTGAACGCATCTTGGGAATGGAAACAGTATCAGCATGTTAGGGGAGCGGCCGAGTGTGCTCTGGTCTACCGTTGAGAAAGTATTCACTGACTGGCCCGGGGGGTTCTTCCGACGTCTCTCGCTACAGACTGGAAATTCGAGCAGTCTCCATCCGCGCCCGGGTCCGGGCTTTGAGCATTCCGAACAAGGGGCAACCCACGAAGCTTCGGAAACGCGGGTAAGAAAGAGCCGAGACTACTTAGGTACGATTTCATTGGGCGTCAAGTAGAGGCAATGCTCAGTTCCTGCGCGCGTCTTTCGTGATTTTTCTCGCTCACACGCAACATCAGCTGATTCTGCAGATAAGCGAAAAGAGTGCCCGGATCGAGTAGGACGTATCCGAGCCCTTACCGATCCCCGAACACACGGGAATGAGGGATACCCTGACCGTGATCATGATGATTTTCCCCGAGCAGACTGCGTGCAGGGGGGCTAGATCCAGATCTAGAGGATTTGGGCGCCAGCAAACATGAAGCTCGAAGGAAGAGCCGCGGGAAGGCGTCCCATTGCGTCGAAATTCTGACGCGGGAAGAAGATCATGAGGGAACTCACTTGAAACTTCTCACTCAATTTCGAAAACGGTTGAAGCTGAGAAAATCCCCGTCTCGATCTCGATTAATCGGGAGCATAAGTGAATCCCGCTGTACGACCAGGTTTCCTCCCTCTGTTTATTCCGTCTTCCCTGCTTGTTTTGATCAGTATCGCGTCGTCTGCTGTGGAGCGCGGGCCGGCCGCTGGCTGCTGGTTCTTCGGTAGGGGAAACCGGCCCCGGTCCAAATTTTTGATTGGAGTCAGATCGCGCGAGGCCATGACTGCAACATCGAGTCCATCACTGATTCGAGGACGAGTGGCGACTATCGTTCACGATCTTCCTGCGTGTTCCGCATGATCATTCGGTGAGAAAACTCCCAGGTACCCCCAACTCCTGAGCGATGATCTGTATTTTTTAGCTTTCTTTCTTCAAGCCCCGTCCCATCGATAATAATCAACACCCCGACATCCAGAATGCTTCAACTTGCGAGCCTCCTGATATGGCACTGCTTGTTTGCTACGCGCGAATGATAACGAAATGTTCCGTAGTTAGGTCTGGCCGTCGGAGAATGCCGCATGTTAATAAATTCGGAAAGATGTTACAGCTGGAAAGTCTAGTCGAGGATTGTCTGAGGCGTGGGTCGAACATAGAGCAGATATCAGCAGCTGTGACGCAGCGCGTGAAGGAACACTGTCCGAAGTGGAACTGGTCTGTGATCTGTGGTCAGGATTTCGAAACGTGCCGGCACGCCGACAATTGGCATGAAGTCATGTTCTGCAAGAATTTCGAAGACAATCTCAATGTTCTCATAATACGAGGCTCGCCGTTGGATAAGTACGAAGGAGGACCGGCGCACTTTGCGATTATAAAAGATAATCTGCCGAATTCGGAACGGGATCTTAGAGCGATACAGAAGGCAGTCGAATGTTCTGTAGGTTGCTGTGACAGAATCGTGGCGAATATCCAGGGATATTTCAAGTCGGAGTACCCCTTGAAAAATGTCGTTGTGATCGCTGGAGAGGATTTCGCTCTCAGCCAGCAATTCGACGAACTAGCAAGTCTCATCTTCTGTGCTGCTGTGGGGCACATCAGCCTCATAATTTTGCTAGCAGAAGAGCGGACGCTTCAGTAATCGACAAAAGCCTCATTTGCGGGAACAAATCGAGAAATCTTGCGCGAAACCCTTTCACCGGTCCGATAAATGATTGGAGCCTCCACTCAACTGCGGACAGAGTTTTATTTCACCCCAGACATCTAGGTTCGACACTTCGAGCTGGTTCATATTTGGCATCTTTAGTATGATGGATCGAGATTGCTCCATAAAAATCAGAAAAGCATAGGGGAACAAATTTCGTCCAGATGGTGTGCATAAATCGTCCGGGATGTCGTGATATGAGGGAATCAAGTCACGGCGCCCACCGGACTACTGAGAGAGTGAGAGAGAGAGAAGAGTTGGCACATTCGAGTATCCGAGAGAGCTCACTTGGTCCCCGTGGAGCCGAAACCTCCAACACCCCTCTCGGTCTCGTCCAAGGTTTTGAGCTCCTCGAGTTGCGGGTAACAAATCTTCTCGCAGATCAATTGCGCGATTCGATCCCCTTCCGAAACTTTGAAGTCTTCATCGCCGAAGTTGAAAAGAACGACTCCGACATTCCCTCGGTAATCGAAGTCGATCACGCCAGCTCCGACATCGATGAATTTTTTCGCGGCAAGACCCGACCTGGGAGCGACCCGACCGTAGCATCCCTCTGGTACAGCAATCTGGAGATCGGTCAGCGCCACCACCTTCCCGTGAGCTGGCACGACGTATTCGTACGCACTGCGAAAAACAAATCGGTTGGGACACTCTCTGTAAATGTGAATCAGCGGGCACGCGGCGCTTCCGGAAGCACTCGAAACTTCGTGTTTTAGATCCTTTCGTCGAGGAAGCCCTGGAGATCGATTGGCTTCCTGCAGGCTCTACCAATGGAGCGAGAACGCATATCTGGTCGAGGCATTGTCCAAATTCAGTCCCGTTTCATCAGCACTTCGATTTACCTTGAGAGGTCGAATCCGGCCGCACTTTCGGATCCTTTTGAGGGAACTGTAGCATGCTCGCTCAGTTTGGCAAAGCGTAACTTCGGGGTGACTTCGGCGTCTCTGAGGCACATTTTTCTCGAGATATAATCAAGCTTCGAGCGTGAAGGACCGGTGAAAGCTCTTCCGATTCTGTTCTGCAGCACCAGCGATCTGTACAGCATGAGTAGGATGTTTCCGCGCGCGCCAAGACTTGTTTCGAGCGCTTCCGTCGCATCAACCGCTCTCACCCGTTCGACGAGAAGAGGAGGTTAACTTTGAGCCAAAGCGACTGAATGTGAGACAGCCGCGGCACACGGGCTACCGCAAACCCACCGCAGTGCACTCGGGAGAGCTCATGCGCTCGCCGCTCCGCAGCGATAGTCCCGATACCGCTAGAATATGTCTGGGGTTCGGGAAGCAGGACTCCCCAAAATTTTGAGGGCGTCAATGCGGCTGACGTCTGACTTTCCGTGCTGCGTCCGCTGTCGGGGTTGCTGCTTTGGATTTGATGAAACCGCCAGAATATGCATTCTCATCAGCTTTTTTCTCCATATCGCGACTGACCGCAGAATTCCCTAATCGCATTGCATCCGACGTGGATTCTATCCAAGCTGCGGGCGGAGGTGCGCCCTAGCGCCCCGTAAAATCGATGGAAGTCTTTCGGTTCTCGAAATTTTTCTGCTCGGGGCTGGCCTAAGTGCTTTTTCCAATTTGATTCCAGATGGGCAGAGCGCAATCCCGGAGACCTGGTCATGAATCGGAACCAGAAACTATCGATACCCGGAACAAAATTCAACGATTCAATGAGCTGATGGCGAAAGGACTTACATCGGTATTCAGATTGAGCCTCGCCGACCTGAAGATCTAGGATGACTCTCTGCGGCAACTTGCGACATGCTCCATAGCCGCGAAGCTCTTGAGGCAAGGCCACCGAATACCGCTATCGGGAGGAAGACTTCCAATATTGATGGTTCACCATCTCTCAACGTCCCCGGCGAAGAAAACATGGACCATCAGACGCAACGTTGTTGGAAACGGGCATCGCGAATTCGCCTGGCGGATATTTGCCGCAATCCGCATCCACGGATCGGGATCTTGCAGATGACCGGCGGTCCCATATCAGAATCCATCGGATCTCTCTTCGATTTGGCAGCTTGAAGGCAGGACCGCCGACGGTTCCCGCATGTGTGGCGAAGAAAGAGACAATTGGGCTAAACAACTCGGATATATTACGTGTGATCCGTCTTTGGAATGTTCGCTTCTTCGAAAATACCCTGTTTGATATTGTGTTCGCGAGAAAACATATGTCAGTGGCTCTTCTCTACAACTCACAAGAAGTCGACGAGAAGGGGATGAGACCTCCCACTCGGACACGGGTGCATCTCCCCGGAACGATGGGAAGAATACATGCAAGATACGATTAGTCCCCATAAATCTCGACGGTGGGCAAGAGAAGGAGGTCCGCATTAACCTGCAGGATTCGATTCAGCATTCTCACAAAGTTGACCGCAAATCCGTTTCGAATATGCTTCATGCCGTAATTCTCTAGTTGCTGGTAAAATTCGCGACTCCTCCCCTCATTCAAGCCAAATGCTTGGTACGTCAGATGCGATGCTTCGACAATCATTGGTCTGGAAGAGGTGATGGCATTGGTTAGCAAACAGGCAAATTCAACTATGCAGGTACTGGGACGCCTGTTTGTCCTTCGAAGATATCGAATCGTTCCCCCGCCCGATTCCAGGGAGGGGGTCTCTCTGAAGTTAAATCTGAGATGAGAAATCCCTTGAGATGGGGTGGAGCTCAATTCTCGAGTGCATTGTGTTTGAAGAGGGCCCGGGCAGCCGAATCGGAACCGGTAATGAGATAGCATGTTTCCTTATCTGAAATTCTTACGCCTAAAGATCGGGAGAATGGCAATTTTATTCGCAGGACGCAATTCATTACTCCAACGGATCTGTCGAGCATAAAAGACGAAGGAGGGAATCCGAAGATAATAAATTGCCACGCGCAGATGGAATTCGTCGAAAAGTCACTGCAGTCGCTCCAAGTACATTGATAAGTGCTCCGCTCAGGCGCTAGACGTGCTTTGCGTCCAACGGCCTCTATTCGATCACTACGCTCAACAACGGCGGCAAGCCTTCTGAGCGGTGTGAAATGCAACCCGAGGCTAAACCAAGGGTAACAAATTATCCTGTGAGACGTCCATGAGCCCTCTGGGTAAAGATTCCTGGACGACAGTCTGGATAGCGGCGTGCGCTTGTTGTCTAACTTGATCCTCAAGGGACTTCCTCCTCCGAGCATTGAGTTTTATATGAGGATTTATGCTGATATCGGATGATGTTCTGTGAAATTGTGGACACGCGGTAGAACGAGGAAGCCAGAAAAGGAATCGATGTCGATATAGGTAGTGTAGCTCGAGTTAGTCTGTTAGGAGGGCGCACCACGAAGTTGCGAAGGATCGAGAGCAAGATCCCAGGAGAAGGAAGAAACAGGTGGAGCATGCCTGACTCTGAGAGCAGGGTCTCATCCGCAGATTACATCTCGGACACAAGAATTAAGAAATTGCCGATGGGAACCAAGAGCCGAAATATGTTGTAGCGTAAGACCATGGAATTTTCGAGGTAGAAATGCTCCTTTGAGAATATCGATGCACAAATCAGAGATAGTACATCATACCGATCTCACTTTCCACATTCCTTCCTTTTGGATGCCCTATCGATTGCGCAGAATGCATGCGATACGAACGCGCTAGGATATTCTCCCTCAAGAGGCAAATCTCGTTAAAGGATCATTAGGTTTTCCGATACATATTGCCTCATGGATCTACTCACTCATCGATGACGGAAGTCTTGATGACTGCTGGTTTGTTAGGTTTCGATTGAGCGACGAATGTCGCCGTACATCTTCGAACTCGGACGAAGAAGTCGAAGAATTCCGGCGACCCGGTCAAGGTGTGACCTCGAACCTCAGCTGCGTAATTGGCCTGCACAGGTGTTAGATTTAGCCGACACTCCAACTGCGAAAGGAATGAGTCAACGCTCAGAATCGTCGGAGATACCATTGGGCGAGATGCGGGGATGTTCTTGCTCAGATCGAGCTAGATTCCTCGCGCGAGCATCAACTTCCGTCCTGATTGGAGTTTGGATGATTTCTCAGCTAGGTGAGATCAACTTGAGAGAAAATCCGAGATTGACCCTTTCACTTACTGTAATATTGCCGGAGACCCATTTCGAGGGTTTGCAGTCGCCATCTCTGCGGATCTTGGACAGGCCAGTTATGCGGCCGTGAGTAAATTGCGCCAAAATATCTCGGTTGCTAATGAAGTTTGATTTCACCTGCAGAGAGAACGTCTCCTCGATGAACTTTGATTCAGGGAAAACTCAAGCGAGAGGATATCGTTGTGCGGTGCTCGTATCTGCTCACCGTGATGTTGAAATTCGCCACGGGGATGTTCTCTATTACTGGGGATCGATCCTCGTCTTGGAGGAAATGCCCCAAGAGCTTGTCCATGTAGTCATTGGCTCGCTGTATCGCGCTTGATGAAACTGGATGAAGAAAACCGTTATACAGAAAAGTGGAGACTGCTCGTAGCTCCCAAGAGCAGGTGCATGTCGGACGCAGGAGAGCTTGACCGGAATATTCTGTGGCTAGTCCCATTTCGAATTATTCCCTGTCGACTTTCGCTCCGTGGAGGTAGCACTCCCGGAGGAGTCTGAGCACTTACCGTAGCCGCTGATGACGCCGAGCAGGACCACAAACGCCACAAATTTCATTTCGCCGTCACTTCGAATGATTCCTTGATCACTTGCAATCGAACAATAGACGACCGTATGGAGGTGTTTCTCACTGAAGCGGTACTTTCTCCAATTTGGAGAGGGTGGCGCTTGTTGAGGTGCCCCGTCCGTCTACTTGTTTTCTCGCCAGTCTGACTGCCTGAGCGGACAGTCGAACACATAAGGGGCGACCGCAAGGCTTTGACGTCCGCTGGCTAGCTCGTTTGCTCAAGAGGCTTAATTTAACAGCAATCAGTGTAGAACTCGGAGGCTCCGGGGAGGCCTCAAACATTGAATACAAATTAAACAGCGAGTATAAAACCGAGCAGAACTTGGTGCGTTGCACAAATTACGCGCTCACGAGTCCCACTGCTTCACTTCGGACGTTCACTTGAGAAGTTCTTATTGACGCTCCAATCTCTATGCGACACGGTTGTGGTTCCGCGCGAAACGAATCAGTTTGAAGCATTCACAGGGTTGCTCTTCCCACGCCGCGCCGTACTCAAATCACAGACCCGCCAAAATAAATTGAAATTGCCTACCGGAATGCCGTCCTGGATATCAGGTCGCCGGCAAACTATCGGATGAAGGCCCGCTCAACTTATCCAACCAGCTACCACCTTCTGCATTGCATGTGGATGGATTGACAAGATAAGTGTACCTGGTATCGATGACGGATCCTCGAAGGCTGCCCGACGGGCACCAGCCACCGTTCAGACTTACTAGCGGCGTGAACCGTAAATGCTCTGTAGTTGTCTCGTCAGGCATCCACCACTCTCACCCAGCGATGACTGTTTACTCTTGCCGCGCCGCAGGTGATTTTTTTTTCAATCGATGAATTCCCGTGCCGTGATCTGAAGCTCCTGCGAGGAGAAGCATTCAGTCGACGGCAGCTCCGACCCCACCCCGACTCCTATGGGGATCCACGGATGGCGTGAAACTCATTTTTTCTAAGACTACTCGACCTGTTCAGCTCTCTGGGGAGCTCGTGATCTCCGGCGAAGTGAGAGCCGCTCGCAGGGTGTCGTTGGTTCGTCTCCCACCGCAAACTTCAGAGCGTACCCTGGTCCGAATCCAAAAGCTATAACTTTGGAGCTCCAGCGAGACTCCCCACTCCAATCGGAGCCGAATCGTGTCTCCGTTAGCCTCAGCGACCCAATTCCGGTGTTTTATTCATACTGACTACTGGTTCTCGGGGAACGAGAACTGGTCGATCGTCTGGGCGCGCTCCGAAAGTCGAGGATCGAGGATTAGTCCGACGAGCGAGAGCCTTACACGAGATGAAGAAGGCGATGGGGCGAAGAATAATCCCGATACGTCTGTTCCAACTGTCCCATCATTGTCAAATTACACGCCCCCTACGCGTGTAAATCATCATTGGTCGGGGGCGTCTCGTCAATAGACCGAGACATCGCATCCGGATGTGCGAACACTCGAGCTCGATGACCCTTTGCCCGTGAAAGGGTTCGATCAGACTGACCGGGACCGCGAGAGATTCGCTTTTCGCCGAAAATTCTACAAGGAGTCTGCGGGGCTGCGCCACGAATAAATTTATTTACGTCAGATAAATTTATTGTCCAAAGTTTGGCATCGCTCCATTCTGAGAGCTCTGAGGATATATAGGTATCTGCGGTCACTCCGATCTCAGACCGGGGGTAAGACTAGTCCGTTGCGAGTGAGAGCGTTGCTCAAAGCCTTCGAGTACTGGTTGTAGAAAGTATTGTACAATTCGGCGGTGGCTTTCTTCTCGAGCTGATCGTAGAGGTTCTTCTTGCGCTCATCGTTGAGACCCAGGTCCTCGACTTCCATCTTGAATTTCATCCTGCGAACGTGAAAAACTTTCTAAGTATCCGAATTTTCCCAGCGTTCATGGAATCTCGCTCAGGCAATTCGGAAATCCAGCTCTGGCTAGATAGTCATCGCACAGGCCATGAACTTGCGGCATCACCGCTGAGGGCGGTTAGGGGGGCGCCGCGGAGCGCTCGACGGATCCGATGTTAAGCCCTGCAACCCTGCCACCGGGCTAATTCACGGGCACCGCGCGACTCGATAACTGGCAATCTCGCTCCGGGAGCTGTGTCGTACAGTACTGTACGACAGCTCGTCTGTCAACTCACTTCTCAACGTAGAAGGTTCGCAGGGAAACGGAGCGGTTGGGGAAAGCTGACGCCTCGAATAGCGCGGTGGTCTCTTTCAGCTGAGCTTTGGCGGGCACTTCCTTGATGTTCCCGGACAGCGTATGACCCTTGACGGAGAACTTCCATTCCGCGAACACGGAGTTGATGTCCAACTTGCATGAGAGCTACGAACAGAAGGGAAATTAAACATGAGAACAGCTCGTCCTGAATGAGGGCAATCCTCGTCGAGCTTTGGACCTCGAGACAGAAAGCTCGGAGAGTGCCCTCACCGTGATGTTGCCGCCGATCCAGGCAGTAGGAGAGCAGTCGCCGGCTCTTTTGATGCCGGTCAATCCCCTCACGAAACCGTTGGTGAAGTTGCCTTTGATATCCCGGTTGGTCAAGGAGTTGCTCTTTATCTTTTCCAAAGTAAAGTCACCAACGCTGACTCCGTCGAGATGGTAGGCACTTGCTTCACTCCTGATCCTGGTGCCGAGGAGATCATCGATGAAATGATTCGACTGCGCTATGGTCCCGCCATGAGCTGGAAATGATATCGATTGAGCTTCCGATCATGACCAGGAGTGGAGGTAGCTTTCTTCGTGACCAGTTAGCCAGAGGGGTTCGGATGAGTATAATATTCTTATGGGTACGTGGAAGTGATTGATAAAACGAGGACATTGACAAACTATGCCGAACTCCGCGATTTGACACAATGTGCGCTGACGGCGCGAAATCCCAATCTCGCTCGGAATCACTCACCCAACGGTGCGGCACACGCAACAACGAACAAAGCCTTGAAGATCATGTCGGTTTTTGGGGACTGATCTGCTGCGCAGCTGGTGCTCGAGAATCTTTATAAAGCGACGCTCGCCACCGGGAGGGAAGAGGCGAGACATCGCTCGACCGACGTTGAGAGGGCATCGAAGATCTCCAGAAAACATCCGCCATCGGGATGAGAAATCGCTAGTGGCCACAGGATTGCTTCGCTTGTCTATGAAATGAATCTGAAACCTTCCCTCCCTACCGATCTTCCGTTGGTCTGGCGGGCGAGCCGACCGACCGACCGGTTGCTCGTTCAATTTGAAGGCGGGTGAAGACACGAACGGCTCGTGCGCGAAGAATACGAACGCCATGTTTCTCGAAGGAGAGTCTCCTTTTTTCTTTACAGTCAGAAGTGATGGCTGCGAAGACGGGGGGCGTGACCGTTCGGCTATCTCACGGATGAGATGAAATTCGCGGTTCGGAGCCCTTCAAATGCAGTATAGGCCGTCGTGCTCTGGCTCGGAGCTTGCTCTTCCGAGTTGGCTCCACGGATAACCGCAAACCTCATGGAAAACCGCACTCATTGACGGCGATTCCATGCAATTATTTATCAGCAGGTTTCCATAGAGTCCCCGTGATGAGAGAACACCGCAGATAACCACGGTTATCCATTATCGCGATCATTGCGGAGCCTCCTCCCGAGACGGGGTGAAATCCGAGGATCGACTCCCCCGGCATAGCTGAAGACCAGAAGTCTCAGACGTAGTCCCACGCACGGGGAAGAAACTTCGAGAAAGGTCTGACCCAAGAGAGACACCGAAAAATTGAGCTGTTTGGGCGTCGCGTTGGTCCATGATGTTCTCATGAGGCTTATGCTGTGGCAAATAGGTTGGAGAGGTTACTGGTTTCCTTATCCTATCTCGATCGTCTCCAATGGTTCCGGACTTCCGCGGAATCGAGTGATTCTCGATCAGTAGTAGGTCACAGTCCTCCTAAGCTTCCTCGGCTTGGTTGAAAAAGAAGCGCTGCATCAAATGGAGCCGAAATAGTGTGGAGGTAATCCAGAATCGACAGAGGCCAAGGAATAAGCGAGGAGATTCGCCCGTCAATATACTTGTCCTTAGGGAAGCAGTTCGCCTGGAGGTCCGTACATTAACAGAGATGATCTACCTTCTTGGAATTGCGTAGAAAAGCAGCCACGGAAGGGCGCATATGACGTTCGAAGAGTCAGACGCGGTCTTACGCTGTGGGAATGAACAACAGGTTCTTCGGAACGGGTTCTCTCACGAACGTGAAAAGCTATGTTTCAACATGACGGGCGTCACAGTGCGTAATATTACGGCATACAGTGGATCAATTACTCGCCTCGTTGCTATCGATCTGCTGATATTTGCTTCCGTTTGACACTTCCTTCCGCACCATGTCGGTTCATCTCTCAAATAGCCTTACGGCATCGGACCCCTTCTCGCTGTCCCAAGTCGAGCTGCGAGTCCCGTATCTATCCGCCGACCAGTCGTTTCCGTGGTTCTGAAATCTACGGACGACTCTAATAGACTTGCATGAACGACTCGATCACCTGGATGATGTTCTTGAGCTGGATCCAGCCTTCCCTGGTGCGATGTTCAGATCGATGTCTTGTTGACTCGAGGCTTCCGCTGTATGTTCGAATAATCATGATTCGAACGACTTTTGGATCGAGAACGTCTCAATCCCATAATCCGGATCCCAGTCTTTCAAGCATTATTTTTGCCTGATTAGCATGAAAATACCGGAAACGATTCATTATGAAGTTGAAGAATAACTCGCGAATCCATAAACCTTGGAATTCTGAATGTCGACGCCTGGAGTTTGTTCTGGCTCTGTTTATTGACATTTCTCTGCTCATTCCGTCACTGTCTATACGACAGTGCGTGTTTTGCTTATTCTCAGATTCTCTGCAAGGGAAGTCAAGGTCGGCGCGAGAAGCAGCATTGACATTTCCCATCCTTTTTTGGTTAGATCCCTCCGAATATTCTCCTCGTTGCGAATGTTAGACCAAAGGCTAGTAGTGGATGAGAGAAAGTCTACGCCTCCCATGGCGAATCACAATTATTCATATATGCATACGCGCGTATCATTCCAACTCGGCGTTCTGGGATGGCTAGGGAGATTCCCTCCCGTCTCGAGCGAGAGAAAGCCTCTCCTGATTCCTAGTACTTGCGAGTGTAGAGCCGTAGAAGCAACGAGCATAATTTCGGTCGATGAGGAGCGCAAGTCCTCGAATCGCGGAGTGACGGTAGTGTGGGAAGACTCGCATCAGACGAAAGGCTGGATCATGATATTTGTAGGTGAAGGGAACCTACCGATATTTATCTTTCTGTGTGTAAAATACTCTCATGATGCCATGCCATTGCAGTGACAATCTCTGAGTGTCTCGAATAACCAGGGAAAACCACTCTTGACCCTGACAGTCGTGATACTATCGCTCTTTCTAGCCACCGACTCCCTCGTACGTACAACTACGGTGATGATACCGTTCGAGCGAAGACTGATCCTTCCCGTCGATCTCAATACATGAACTTTGGCTCCAAAGAGAAAACGTTTCCCCAGATCTCACAGCGAATCGCTTTATTCGATTTGATTGTAGCCGTTCGAGAGTCGATCAGATCTTCGGCGACAGACTACACTGGGTCCAATATGATTTCCCACTCAAATTACAAGCATTATGATGGACCGATCATGACCCGCCATACTCGGTAATTTTTTGGCTCAGTCGGGTCCAGAATGGAGCTCGAATTACGTGAGGGGCGAATACCCCTCCTGGCTGCGCGGAGCGTCCTACACGGGAGGCAGCCGGAGGTCTCCGCCTTTAAGTGCAACATTGATGGAGTCGAGTAGTTTCCCGCTGAGTACATTGATGAGGATTGGCTGCACGGCCTTGTCGACCTCACTCTTGAATTTAGTCTGACGTTCCTCGTTGAATCCAATGTCAGGCATTTCTATCTTCGTCAAGATTCTGTCAGGACATCAATTGCTTGTTAAATTCTCTACGAACAGGAGCACCAACCACGAAGTTTGTGAGCTCACTGCGCCGCAAAACTGATGGGAGGCGAGCGACTCGCCGGATTTGAGGCTCACCTGTCCACAAGGAATGTTTTCACGAAAGGCTGTTGGCTCGAATCCTGTTGTACCTCGAAATTGATGAAGGAAGATAGAATCTTCACCGTTACACTTATCTCTTTGACTTGACCGACGATGTTGAAGCCTTTCACGAACGAGGTATATTTTGCTTCCAATGAGCTGAGATCAATCGGGCAAGAGAGCTGCAAGAGGAGGAAAGCTTTTGAAGTTGACAGCGTCGTAACCCCCCGTTTCTCCTTCTTGTGACACCCTCGGAACTCACCAGAATGCCCGAGGCGATCCCGACGGTCGGCTCACAGTTATCTCTCCTCCTCAAGTTGCCAAGACCGTTCAAGACTCCATTGGTGAAATTAGCTTTGATGTCCCGATGGGTGGGCAGAACTCCCAGCTCGAGCTCTTTTTTGATTTTAAATTTGAAATCGTCCAGAGCGACCGCGTTGATGCCAGGCACCGACGGGAGCCGAACGCTCAGAAGATCATCGATGAAGCGGTTAGAATCTTGTCGGGAAGCGGCATTGACTGCAACATAGAAATGACGTTGAGCGGTGACTCTCACGACAATCGTCGTGCGCATCCTGCGGAGAGGGGGGCATTTGATTCCAATCAACTCGAACTGACCTCCGACGGCTGCGGCTACGAGAAGGCACAGGTGTGTGAATGCAATCATGTTTGCTGCCAAACTGCAATCGGCAGTAACTAAACATCGCCGTTCTTGACTCACTCAGAGAAGAGCCTCTCCCATGAAGAAAGGGATGTCCGTGATGTCATACGGGTACGATCGCCGATTCGGTGCCTGTCGGAAGTGACAGAAGAATGGGAGGACTTCTTCCCGATGCCTCGGAGCGATCATGCTCAGCGCTTCGCCGCTAGAATATTAAAGCAGAAAAATGAAGCATATGAAGGGGAAACCGGAACCCTTCCGAAGTGAGGCTCAGCGAAAATGAGGCTTCTCGCAGGCGTCCTCTCTCTTTGCGGCTCATTCGAAATGAATTGACTGAGCTCGAGCACGCTGCTGCCCGCGAAGTTCGACCCTCGACGAAGTCTCCAGGGCTCGATGATCTTCATCGAAGCAGGGGGTGAGTGCTTCCAGCTTCATATTGACTTAGGGGGAGTAAATAATATCTTCGGATCCCTCATAGATGAAGGATCGAATATCACGACCGACGGGAGATTCGGCCGCGCTCCGCCCGTCCCCGGTTCGGATGCTTCTCTATGGAAGGGGGAGGGAGCTCGCGCGTCACTCATGCGGCAGCCTACCGCTCGCGATCCGCGAGCGCAGTGATGCGCTCTGAAGACGCTAGGCATCATGGAATCAGAAGAGATTACTGAGCCATTCTCTATTTCGCTTTTCCTATTATCTATTCGTAGATTCATTCCAAATCATCGCATAGGCATGCTCATCCGAATCAGCGAGTAGAACAGGTTCGGTGGGATTATTTTGGTTAAAGTCTAGCAAAGAGAATCCTTATGGAGTCCCCCGGCGCCCATCAGTTAGGAATCGCTTTCTCGGGGTCTCCCACCCGACTCATCCTTTACAAAGTCCATGCATAGAGGATTCTTGAAATGCCGTAAATATTCAAATCGTAGCGAAGTCTCCACTAATAATCGACCTGGCTCCAACAAACGGGCTGGTTCCGGGGGATAGATGAGATGGACGGGCAGTCTCTGATAGACGAGCTGTCCTCAATGAACGGGCATTCCGGACGGAAAAAATTCATGTACCCGTATCGGGATGATTGCAGAACTCCTCTCGCGGCTCATTTGTGTGAGTGGCGTGCTAACGGTGAATAGTTCATCGATTCAATATATGTAGTATACCAGTATGAATGACCAGAGTCGATTTTGTCGTTCGTGGACGGGAGAACTGGAAGGCTTCTACATTCTGGATGGTCGAGAAATGAATTCTCTCAATTATTTAGATCAAGAAAATTGACGGCATATGTAGCGATGAAAATTTCCACGGTAACTGGTAGACTAGGGGCATCTCTCCAAAATACAGATTCTTGCAGGGAATGTGATGAGAAGCAGTAGGCTGACTGGAGAGATCCCTCCACACCTACGTGTGGGAATTGGGAACGCTCGTGGGGTATCAATCCCTCGGAGCCAGGATCTGGCACAAGGGTTGTCGTGATGGTCGATGCTTGAGAATTCCATCCTGAGAATCATTCGCGGCTCCATTCTGAGAGCTTCTCGATATGGAAGTAAGCACTGAGTCGATAAGACGACCTCTCATTTTGAGATTTCCTGAATCGATCTGATATCGGTGGGGGACATGAATCATCGGCTTAAGAGGCATGACGATACCTACGTCGACCTCGATAGAATCGATTCGCGCGGTCAGAGCTCGGAGGGTTGGCATTTTCGAGCTGATTCAAGCGAGGAGATCGGGATAGAAGAGTCCGTTCTCCTTGTTCTAGCGGATGGGGAGACTTGTCCACTCGTGACGTGTCACATGTTTAAGCCGTCTTCGTCTGAGTTTCTTGCTTAGTGTCTGTCGTAGGTCCAGTCAAAGTCCCTGACGGAGTTTCAGTCGGGATCCCTGATTGGGGTAACCCAGGATAGACAAGCCTACTGAATACCCAGAATTTCATCAGATGAAGCTGAGCGCATCAGTATGGGAATTGTGAGAACACCGCTTCCAGGAGCTCACACAAAGTTGAGAGCTCTAATTTGCTGAGACAGCGGGAAAGAATCGCGAAAAAATTTATAACGCTCTAGCAACCTGGGTGGGGTTCGAGCATTGGAGTGATTCCGCGAGCGTTCAGACATCAAGGGAAATGAGGGAAATCAGCTTCAGAATCAGATTCAGAGGGCTCGGAAGCTCGTTCCATATCTGATATCGGTGGGGGACATGAGTCTCCGGCTAAAGAGGCATCACGATACCTACGTCGACCTCAATAGGATCGATTCACGCAGTCAGAACTCGGAGGATTTGCATTTTCGAGCTGATTCAATCTGGGAGATCGAAATAAAAGAGTCTGTTTTTCTTGTTCGAGCGGATGGGGAGACTTGTCCACATGTTTAGGCCGTCTTCGTCTGAGTTTCTCACTTATAGTGTCTGTCGTAGGTCCAGTCAAAGTGCCTGACGGAGTTTCAGTCGGGATCCCTGATCGGGGTAACCCAGGATAGACAAGCCTACTGAATACCCAGAATTTCATCAGATGAAGCTGAGCGCATCAGTATGGGGATTGTGAGAACACCGCCTCCAGGAGCTCACGCGAAGAAGAGCTCTAGTCGGCTGAGAGAGCGGGACAGAATCGCAGAAAAATTGATTACGCTCGAGCAACCAAGGCGGGGCTCGAGCATTGGAGTGATTCCACGAGCCTTCAGACATCAAGGGAAATGAGGGAAATCAGCTCCAGAATCAGGTTCAGAGGGCTCCGAAGCTCGTTTCCCAAATGATAATGATGATAGCAGTGTCAACGAATAGATTCATACCCCAAGCCGGTGTCTTTGATCATAGAGATGATGATGATCACACCCAATCACGGTTATATGATGGTGCCCAAGACGTCTTCCGGCCAGCCCAGGCCGAACTCAAGCCTCTCCGCGCGCATTAGAGAGGCTCTTGTGAGAATGCACGTCCGGATACGGGAAGATTTTCAATTCCGTGGTCCGTGTAGACAATATATTCCGCGAGTGATTCGCGTCCTTTGGATGACTTCGCACTTGGGGGGAGAAGTCAGATTTAGCATTCCATTCCGGGCACGGCGGTAGGCACAATCGATGGGTCGCGCTCGATCCCGGAGGTACACCCAAATCGGTAGAGCACGGCCATTAGCGCCTGCGCCCCTCGAGTTTCAAGCGCGAAATCGCACCAACGTCGTCATGGGAGGTGCCGTTTGATGAGACTGGACGGTGTAGTGAAGTTTCGGAATCGGAGGAGACAGCATTCTTGAGCCGAATCGCTAGAGTCCCGCGAGTTGACCTCTGTGGAGCAAGAGCAATGTATGATAATGACGTCAGCCAAGTAATGTTTGAAAGCTTGGAAACGTAGCTTTCGATGTAGGGGCTTAATTTCTCGAAAACCCGGAACACAAACGATCTCCTGGGAAGTTTGCCCGTGAAAATCCAGGCGAACTTCACAGACAACCTCCAGTGGGACTGGAAACCTGTTCCAGTTCCGAGTGATTCGCTCTCTGGTGAGTGATGAGCAAAGCCCGAATACAAGCCCTCAGTCACTTTCAAATCTCCTGTATTAATCGGGGTAGGTAAGACGATGTATGGATGATGCCTGGCTCGCCCTGAAATCGGAGTTCCTCCTCCCCACCCTTCAATCGAAAGCGAGAAGTGGGACGGGACGAATGCGCGGTCCGCGAACCTCATACGGTAAGCGCTGCAACAATCTATCCCCTTGGTTCCTGGACGGCAGAATCTCTACATATTAGTCTCAAAGATGATGTACGCCATATGTACGCCTTGCGGGCCTGAATCACTCATCCTATCGGGCGATCGGGTGAGGTCCGCCCGTGGCTTTTGCGACCAGGGACAGCCCCATAGGTGTCTAGATCTTACTTCGCTGCTCCGGAAGCTCTGCCGACTCCTAAGGGAAACAGCTCTCTGTACACTCATCACTTATCAGGATATGACAGGTATAGGTTGAAGAGACGATGCCGTCGTCGACCCGATGCGGCAGCCGACCTGGACCTCGGGAGAGTAGATATTCAGCGACGTGAATGCTAGCTCTCCACCGGAATACTCCGATTGTTGGCAGAGCCGGTACCGACAGACAGCACCTTGTGGAAAACTATCGATCGGAGGAAAAGGCTCGATTCGATGCAATCAGGCTCGCACTTGGAAGTAACTTTCTAGGACGGCTTCCCGACTGTTCAGGAAAACAATACTCTTGGGCGTACGGTGTGGCGGAATGTTTCGATTGCGACTCCATATTCACAACTATCTTACTCTCGCCTGGAAGGCGCCAGGGCTCTCCAAATCGGACTTTGAATTCGAAGCAAAAAAATGGAATGGACGCTCCCGGGCCCGCAGGACGGGTGACACAGAGAACACGGTGCATTTGACAATGAATATGCTTGCGGTTAGAGGAGGATATAAGCCCAGATCATCGATTGCAAGACTTTCCCGCCAATGTTCCTGGCTGCTTGTGGAGACGACCTGTCCTTGTATGCATGAGAATCCCTGAATGTGCTAAGAGACGCTGAAGATTCAAGGGGAGGTTGTTCACTTCCGGATGAGCATTGCACGGGACGCTTGGCCGTCTCAAGATACAAGTTCTCGGAGAGTGGGGAATCATACTTCACAAAAAGGAAGGGAGCGCCCTATAATGCCTGAATTTCCAGCAAAGATCATCGATGTCATTCTCTACACTCTCCCTTTGACAGGCTACGTTCCTTCTGAATTTCACCCCCTCATTTCTTCCGCGGGTTCCCGATAGAATCTCGGTACTCCATGTGATTTTAAAGGAGCTCAAGGATACCTTCTCCCGACCGAAAATAAGGGTACGCCACGTCGGGAGTCGAGTTCTAGATCGAATTCTGTTGTTTAGTCGCGGATTTGTAGCAGCAGAACAAGCACCCCTCACTCATCGCAGCTGCTTCTCCTCCACTAGCAGCAGGAACGACGACGACCATATGTTCCAGTGCTGGCTTCTCGCGTCGGAATAATCCGAACCTTCTCTAGGATAGTGCGTCCCGGTGTCGGAACCTGACTGTTGTGGCCTGGGTCCGCACGGAGAGACTCGAACGAATCAGAATGAACAACATCAGCATTGGTGATAAGCTCGGTCTCACCGGAAAGGTTGGTGTCGGATATTCATTCATCACCTCGGTAACTCCCTTGGTGAATCCGGGGTCTCTCCTCTCGATTCTCTAAGGGCAAGGGGAAGTTTCCCGTTCATGCTCCGCTTTTCTCTCGAATGAGCTGTAGTTGGGAACGTGACATTCAGGCGGCGACTTCACTCGAAACAGGATTGGAATTCGAGGTGTTCGCTGCGCACCACTCGAACTCCTTGGTTGCGAAGAATGGGATGAGCATGAGACAGCCGTCTAGGCATCCCGTGATCTCATCATTCTTAGGAGTTCAATGAGCTATTTCTCATGCAGGCGGTGGAGCTGAAATTGGGCAAGAGCTTCGACAGTTCTGCGAGCCAGAACACTCCGGGATTCCACACCTTCAGATGTAAGATCGCTCCCCAGCAAGATAATGACTCCACGCTTCCCGCAATGTGCTGCTTCCAAGCAGGCATATCTTCTATGTGGCATATGAGTAGAGCTCATTTACAGTTTTGCATATCCCCAATTTCAGACGACTTCAAACCTGCCTCTGTGGACGCCTCGCAAGGCGCCCGCGTTGACGTTGAACAACGCAATCAGATTTCAGTGACCGTACCTCATCATGATTCAACGAGCTCGACAACTTTCCGAGGTCTGAAAAGTTCTTGCTCGATCCGATAGAAATAAGCTTGGCGCTCCGTTGGGGATCGGGAGCCATATCGGAAGATTGGTGGCGTGGACCCTGTGAGCCGGGCGGAATAAAGATACATTTTCTTTGTAGGAAGTCAACGACAGTATCAGAAAGAATGCGTGTTGATAATCGATCAGAGGACTGGACAGCTCACATTGGAGAGGCTCAGCTGTCAGTTCATTTTGACGCTTCTTCCGACCGCAGAAATGAGATCAAGATCGTATAGAAGAATGTCTTAGCCTCGAAATGAGAGTACATGATATTTTCACTTGATCTCAGGCAATGTACAACTCAAGAAGACGAGAGCGGAAGGATCCTCCAAAGTGTCGCTTGGGCCTCCTGGAAGACCTCTCACACCCAGCGTAGTTAATCACGGTGGGTTAGCGGCACGAACGATTTCTTGTGGGGAATCGTGACGCATATCCCTAAGTTCCGCTTCTCTATCCTCCAGGAGCTCAAGGAGTGAATCAAGATTTGGAGAGTGCGCCGAACCCGGCTCCTCGGATGAAGAGGCCATCTCCTCCAATGCCTCACCAGAGGTTATATCGATAACGAAGATTTGTATCAGGGGTATTCGAATCCTACCTGTCAAGTCCTACAGCGAATCATTGATCCCTGTTTTCCTCCACAGAACGCACACACCGAATGCTGTCAAGCAAAGGATCAGTCCTGTTGGAGCGCCGAGACAGCCTGGTAAGGGTATTTTCTTGAGACTCTCCGATTTCGGACAGAAGGAGCCGCCCCGAATCGGCGATCTCGATCCGTAGCACCGACCCCCGGATATTTTTTTAATCGGAACAAATTCGTTTCCAGTTGCAAAACCCGTGCTACAACCCATGCGGCCCCAACAAGCGGCATTGGCTGCGAACTCCATGCCTATGCTACTGGATGATTCGGGCAGGTTGGTAAACCCAACGGGAGCAGGCATCCTATCTGGTAGATTTGTTTACAGGACGGTTCCCCTGTTTTTCCGAAGTGGATACACGAAGTACGAAAGGCCGTGCACTAAGACCCACGGCTTCACGAACCCCCCACAAAACCGCCGAACTCACCGGATTTCTCCGGACGGTGTTTCCGGAGGAGTCCGGAAACACCGTCGATGGAGCCACGGACCCTTGGTCTCTGTGAAGCTGTTGAGGACCTTCTGGGTCCTTTGAGCGGTTGTTTACTACTATGCCCGACGCGGGGACGGGCCGCACTAGATTGCGAAGAGTTTCATTCTGCTGTAGGGTGACCAAATCGGAGTGATCGCCAGTCTAGGAGAAATTTTGATCGAATTTGTTCACGGTAAAGCATGGAATGAGAGCCTAGCAATTTCCTCCCCAGGTTTGATGACACCGGCTTGAACCTGCAACACGTAACACTTCAAGCAGCAAATGCCACATCTTCCATTGTACAAAATGCTCATGGCTCGAAGAACCTGGCTCCTTCTATGCCCACTTTCGTGAGTTCCTTCAGTTTGAAGGCTAACCTCCTGGGCTTGTATGTGTGTAGAAAGGATCGGAACCATGCAATGAGCTCAAATACATTCGCAGGATTCGAATACCGATGTGATAGAAATGTCCGAAGGCTCTTCGTCCTCCTCCTCGGACTCCGATTCATCTTCGGATGGCTCAGACTCGGAGAGCGAAGAGGACACCCAGAGGAAGAAAGGCCCTGTGCCCCCGCAAGCGCCGCACATGCCGCCTGCATCTGATTTCGCACCAACACCGACGAACAGACAGTCCATGCCGAAATTAAGCCAATTGAGTGAGTGAATGTTCATTCTCCGATGCGTATCGAGCTTGTCGCCGTTTCGTGAATAGAACCGTCCGAGCAGTACTTGGCCTCGGGTCTCGATCCGGAATGCGGGACGTCGGCGTGGTGGGGTCGAGGGCGAGTCGGATTCTCGGAGAATCGATGGCCCAAAATGCGGGTTTCTCGTCATAAGTTAGGCCCGATCGATATTCCCATCACCCAATAGCGGTGAACATGACAGTCCGTAGAATCAGGAGTACTCCTTAATGCTCATTATAAAGCTTCGATTGAATTCCACAGGTGAAGATCTCCAGTTAAGCGAATCGGGAAGCGATTCCGACTGAGGAACATTGCTCACCATGTAGATAGAGGCGTGCGTATGTTGTAATGTTCAAACGGACGAGCCAGCTAGATACTCGGGCAATAAATGAAATTTGTATATGGAGCTCCTGGCTCCTCGAACCCCCAAGGCCATTTTCTTCTCAGTCATTTTCTATACGACTGCTAGTGTTAGTATACGCGTTTCGAAGCCCGTCGATTCTTCCGCGATGCTATTTAGATGATAGTAAAGAGCTTGACCGTACCAGGAATACACCCAGAATGTGATATTCGGGGACCTCATGTGAGGATCGAGCCTCGTTCCTCTGGAGGAGGACTCGTACCATCGTAGCCCCTATCAAGTCTTGATTGCTCAATGCAATGCTTCGATTTCGCTTGCGGGAGCGTTCTACGTTTCTCAGCCACCCCGGATCACCACCATGGCTTGAGAGGGATGCGCGCTCTCCCAGATCTGATAAGGGCGCTCTTTTCGTAAGGGAAGGATTCGTTTACATAGTCAGAGGGCAACCGATAGGAGGGAGGGTAACATTTTCGCGGCCGCAATAGAATAGCAAGATCCATCACGATTCGCTTTCTTACGCGCGAAGAAGAGTGTTGTCGATCGAATCGTTGGCAGACCTACGGCCGCGGGAGCTCGAACATGTATCGAATCATAGAGTATGGAGCCACGACGAAAATCGAACCACACATGGAACGACCTTCGAAGATCGACTCAACGATCCAATACGGAGATAACGTTGATTGTTATTCTCATGGGGAACGCTGGATCATCTCTGACGAGAATCTAGTTCCCTGGATTGTAGACGACTAGTGCTCACTCCCCAGGGAGTTGATTTCCGCCTGTTCCAACCCGGAGTGAATGGTTCCGAATGAGCGAGTCCCGAATGAAAATTCGCGCGTAGTCGACGTTCGCGGGTAGACCCGAGCACCGCTTGGAGCGAGGGCTCGCCGCTTGCGTTGGACACACCGCCCGATGGAGCTCGGAAGCATTATAGAATGCTTCTCCTGGCCATGCTTATCCCAGACTGGGTCAAGTCGCCCGCCTAGGACCCGGACGATTCTCTCAAGGGTCTACCTTCAAGGGTCGCAGACCTTCACAACCTACCGTGGACCCCAGATTCTCCTTCCGGGCATCTGGATCCCTTGCGAACCTCTTCGGTCCCCAAGAGCACCGAATGACGCTTATGGAGTACCACTTTCCACCACTATAGAACGGCCCCCCTCGATTGATGAAGACGAGTGAAACACTCGGCTGTCAGATTTAGTGCTTGCTCGAATCATTGTTAGTCATCAATCAGCGACCGTGAAAACATTGCCCGCACTCAAAGCCTGCTTTAGTGCAGGGGTCGGAGAGGGCGATGGCACCCACCTAAAACTCCGCTCAGAGAGCAAATGATGTCCCATTAGACGTCATCATTAATGCCTTCGGAATCTCAATATTCTCGCGTGCCGGCCGGGAGAGGACGCTGGGTCCGCTCATACGCCTCACCCCTCGCCCCGAGCCCGATTATACAAGACAGAGCTCCAAGTCTCGCTCAGGTCATTCCAGAGCAAAGATACATTCTGTGAGGCTTGTTTTGCTTGGAGTATCCTGACTCATAGAAATGGACAAAATCAACATCGGAGAGAAGCTCGGTCTCACCGGCAAGGTTTGTGACACTTTGAACCATTGATACTAACCCCCGCGAATACGTACCTGACGCCTCTGAGGTTCCGGAAATGCCGTGGTCTCCGACATGAGATTCTGGATTGAGAAATCTCTGGCTGACCGGGAATCGGGCGACTTCGGTCCAGATCGGCGAGCTTTCTCGGTCCGAAGCATATCTCTGTATAGAGACCCTTCCGGAATCAGTCCGCAGTTGGCGACTTACTCTGATGTTGAGGACTAGTGCATAAATCTAAACCCTGGTCTTCGTTCTGTGACTCGATTGACAAAACCACGGTCGACCGTCACGATACTCTATTGGAGGAAGGTGATTCCCCGTGGATCGCTTGTCTTCGCTCGGAGATGCTGCGTCGGGAGGACCTACGATTGTTCTTGAAATGAGAAAAGAAGCCGAGCTCGCATTCACCCCCCGTGAAAATCAGTTCAGGAATTCGAAAAACCGAAATCGAGATAAATCAGTTTGAGGCGCTCTTCTGGAGACCGAGTCGGCCCAGAGGAATTCCGGAATCGTTCGCGGAGTCCGCCCGCTAATGACCGGACTCTCAATCACGATGTTTCTCTCTCGCAGGTGATGAAGCTGAAATTCGGCAACAGCTTCGACAGATCGGCACGAAAGGAGACGTCGGGATTCCACACCTTCAAGTGTAAGCATCGTTCTCCGAAAACTAGTCAATTCATGATTCGTGATGGATGATGAGCTCTCTCTTTCTATACCTGCAGCAGAGCTCCCGCATAACACTCTATAAATCCTTAATTTCAGACGACTTCAAACCCGCATCTGTTGATGCCTCTCAAGGCGCGACAGTCGACGTCGAAAAAGGTCAACAAATCTCAGTGACCATTCCTCATCATGACTCCTCGAGCTCTACAACTTTCAGAGGTTTGCGTCCATCGCTCATCAAATTTCTAGCCGGAACCGGCTCTTCACAACGGCGCGAGTCTCATTCGAAGGTTCGGTCGAGGGTCTCAGCCGTGTAAGCTGCTCAATCTCACGAGATCTTCTTCCTCTCTTTCAGGGAATCACCGAGAGTATTCGAAAGAATGTGTCCTAATTATAGACCAAAAAACCGGGGAGGTCACTCTAGAGAGGCTCAGCTGTATGTTCATATATTTTTATACATCTGACTGTATGACGATCACGTGGAGGGCGAGAACATTTTCGGGGCGATTCCTCAAACGTGAACACATTCTTTTTTCGCTTCCAGGCAACGTACAACTCAAGAAAACCAGAGCGGAGAAATCCTCAAAAGCGGCGCTGAATCCCACTGGACGCCCTGTGAATGAGAGCGCAGTCAACGACGGTAGGCTGCCGTTCCAATGTTGCTTCGTTTTTCTTCTGAGCTCTCGCTCCCCCCCCCCTCCTTCCTAGTCTACCGTATTGCTAGAGTTTCCTGACAATCTCTTCATCATTCAAGGTCCGTCAGCAGCTCCAGCAGCAGGGAAAGGGATAGAGACTCCGCAGCCATCAAATGCGCGGATGAAGAAACCGCTCCCTGCGATGCCTCAACGGAGGTCAGTCTCCTTATCGAGAATACTACGCGAGCTATTCGTTGTATTTCCTCCCGATTCTATCTTAGACCAACGATTGTTTGCTCTCTCCTCAGAAGCGAACCATCAATTGGAGCCGTCAAACGTGGAATGACTTCTGTGGCACCTCCGAGGAAGCGAAGTGAGTAGATTTCGCTCGGTGAACTTCTTCCTGATAGAATGATTTCACTGCTGCCGGATTCGAGCCATCGCATGCTAGAGCACCGATCACCGACCGGAAGAAATTATTTCAACTAACGTTCCTTCTTCCAGTCTCGAAACCGAGGCCCGTACCGCAGCCGATACGCCCCCATGCGGCGGCACTCGCTCCAAACTCAATGCCCATACTTATAGGAGATTCAAGCGGGTACGTGGAGCAAATCGTCGACCACGACTATGGAGGAGATAACGATGAAAGTCTTGCTCTGATGAGCTTTGAAGTCTGGACTAACCCTGATCCTTTGCAGGTTTGACGGGAGAGCTTCGAGCTCGAGAAACTTCACCCGCGAAGTTTCGAGCTCGGGAAACTTCAACCGTGAAGCTTCGAGCTCGGGAAACTTCACCCGTGAAGCTTCGAGCTCGGGAAAGTTCACCCGTGATGTTTCGAGCTCGGGAAACTTCAACCGCGAAGCTTCGAGCTCGGGAAACTTCACCCGTGAAGCTTTGAGCTCGGGAAACTTCTCCCGTGAAGCTCCGAAGGCCACATCTTCCATTGTGAACAAATCTTGTACAGTGAAGAGTTCAGCTACTCCTCTATCGCAGACTTCCGTGAGTGCCTCCGATCCTCTGAATGATCCACCGTGTCTACTCGATATCAATAATTCGTCGGCAAGCCGCAATGACACGTGTTGCTTTACATTTGCAGGGCTCGTTGAAGGATGCGATGGAGATGTCCGACGGGTCTTCGTCCTCAGACTCCGATTCGGGTTCCGATGATTCAGATTCGGGCAGTGAAGATGAGGCTCAGTCCGAAAAGGAACCGCCGCAAGTGGCCCTCGCTTCTCGTCTCATGCCGCCTCCGGCCGTCGAGCAGCCTATGCCGAAGCCGAGTCTATTGAGTGAGTATATTATTCAGGTTTCCAATATTCCGACAAATATCTTCAAGCGCCTCGGAACGGTCCAAGTTCCGTACTGAAACGATTTGGGACACGGACTGGCTACGATTCTGTGGTAGGAGTCGAGGGCGGGGTCATCATTGCATCTGTCAATCTCTCATGAGAGGAATTCAATCCAAATTTGCAGTTGACGATCTTCAGTTGAGCGAGTCGGGCAGCGATTCTGAGTGAGGGTAATCACTCCTTCCGGGGATCAGAGCGTCCATTCACTGCGATCTGGGCTAGCTCGGAGCCAGACAATGCGCGGCGTTCCCTCGGCGCCCCCCTTATGACATCATCAAGACGAAATTTACTTCAAGAGACCCGGTCATTCGTATGAGCAAGCGGTCGTACGAAAACTATATTTAAGACGGAACGAATATTGTTGAAAATCAATCAACAACCTTGACGGATATGCGTTTGAACCCCATCAGATTTCATTGAATAAAAAGCTGTGACCACTAAATTATGATAAAGTCCCGGTGATTCGAGATCGTTGCGAACCGAATCCCGAATGGTTAATCTTGGGGATACCGACTTTGGCAGACACTCCGACATGGCTTCTACCAGCAAATTCCCTTGGAGGGAAGGGCCTAGCAATAGCTAACGACGGGATCCACAAATGCAAGGCTTTTGAATGGAGGGGTCTCCACAGTGAAGCATTCGGTGTCCGGCATTCGGAGGATCTCCTTGCGACCATGATGGCGTTCTGAGCTTTGATAGGCGCGAACTGATCGATTGCTGATGCAGAATCCACTTCCCAGTGAAAACATCGTCAATCGAGCGTATCACGAGAGGTTGAAGGCGTTCATCTGACATTGATGATCGCGAGATAGTTTCTTTGATGTCTGATTTGAACTGCTCTCTGACCAGGGATGTCGACCCATTGAAGGATAGGTCGGCAGCTAATACGTCTTCCCGGAAGGCATGCTGCGCTTTCTTGCTTGAAACATGAGGTTCACAGGAGGATCCGGAGGCGCGAGCCAGGAGGGTCTGCGCTAGAACTTCCCGCCTGGCAGTTGAAGAGCGGAAACTCAGTGGAGAATCGCCGTCGAGAATCGGCTTGAACACCGGAACTCGATCAGAAATCTGATCCTCTAATATCGTATTGGCAGACCTCATAACCCCGGCAGACCCCTCGGAAGTCCATACCTCTCGCAATATGGGTATTGTGACATTCCAACACCTCATAACTTGCAGCGACGAAAACTTCCGCAAGAGGGTCGTCTCCGAGATCCTTCCGAAGGCGCCTACGAGAAGGCAAGTCGATCCTACGTACGATGGGAGATTTCCGGAGTCTGCGCGCGACGGACCGGGAGCTTCCGACAGGAACAGCATTCGACAATCTCCAGCATTTTGCGACGTCTTCGAAATACTTCTCTGCACCTCCACTACGTCAAGCCCAGATCCGAAACATCGCGATTCTTGCAATGGAATCAGCAGCTAGCGGACCTAGCGATATGCGTGGGAGTTCGTTGAGGCCAGCTCGAGAAGCTCTGGGCGGGCGCTCTCCACGAGGATACTTCAGTATCGTCAGCAGGCAGTCCCGACCTGTTAGGATATAATATACCTAAGTACCTCGTTCCCCGGATGACGATATCCCGCCTGCTCCTGGAGCTTTGTGGATGATCGGAACCTGCTGGAATGAATGAGCGATATTTCATGTCCTCGCGTATCGTACGGCAATCATGTAGCTGTCACGGATGATTCCCTCTATCCCCTCATATGTGTACGGCATAAGGACGAAGAAAGTCATCGAGAGCCAATAGGCATGGAATCAGTGTGAGAATTAGGTATGAGGCAAAGGATTCTGAATTCGTAAAAATCCCGGAGGAAAGTTCGTATGTTCGAGTCGGCGACCGGGTCGCGACAGGATGCGGCAAGGGTACACTCCCGAGTCCCCGAATCGCATCTCCCCGAATGAATCCTCCCCTAAATTAGGCGCGCTGCTGGCCTATTCAGGACTGAGCGAAGCTCCTATGATCGTCCAGAACGTCCGACGTGAAGCAAGGTTTCCATTCTTCCGGCGGGTTATCGGAGCCACAGCAAATCAAACCAGGCGCCAAGCCTGCTCACGGATTTTTCCCAGACAAGACAGGATAAGAACGTGAACTTTCTTCTGTTAGCTGTTGATATCTCAGGATTCTCAGCGAATTTCATCTACGAGATCATCATCGGTGCAAACGCTTCTCTCTAATCTAAGCGGATTCATGGATATCAATCCTGGAGGCTTAGAGCCGTACGAGAACTTACAGGATAGAACCGATGGAACTTCCGCTCTCGAATTGCTCGATGGACTCGGAGTTCTCTAACTCACAGCATTTTGCATGAGGTAAACCGATGCGCTCCCGGTTTTCTCGTCTTATCCGCTTCAGAGCGCTCATAGCATTCGGATTGATATTATTCCATGTTGAGTCTTCACCACAGTTCTCTTCTAGAATCATAGAAGCTCCGTTCAGCCTGGAATGAGCCAGCAGCGCGCCTGAATTGGGGGAGGATTCATTCGGGTAGATGCGATTCGGGGGGATGCGATTCGGGGAGTCGGGTCATAACCGCGGCAAGTATCCTGTTCCGAATCCGGCAAGAGAGGGGTTCAAGACAGCTGGGGGAAAAAGCCTGAATCGACTTTGAATTGGGACCATACTTCGAGGTATTTCCCCCCGACTAGAGCAAGTATGATTGCAGACTGCCCGGCAATCGATTGAGCAATACTGGAGCATTAGAAAATCCCAGCACGAGCGGAATTGACTGGAAAGCGTACACCAGGATCGACGATTTTAGCGGTGTTTGATGCACTCCCGGAGCTGATCAGGAAGTTTCCACGAAGCCTTGTTATCGGAGAAATAGAGCCCCAATACCCCAATGAGTTAATACACGGCCCACTCGAGATAGAACGGAGAAGTTAGACCCCCTTATGAACGCTTCTATGCGATCTCACCGCTGCGCTGTGCGCTGGAAACTTTCTTCGTAGGTGGATTCAGGGGGCTGATTGATAGGATGGCCTTTCGAGAAGACTGATGAGCTCACCGACAGTCGAAATTCTTTATAGCCTCAGGCGCGGTGGCCTTTTCTTGAAATTTCCGTTCCCTAGGTGGCCTGTGTTCCCTTGCTCCGAACACCTAGGACCCGGTATTCGTCGAGTATCGACAGCATGAAACTTCTTGGAGGGACATCCCGTATCAGAATGAGCGGCTTCACAGAGCGGACGTCGGAAAATCATGATTCTGATCGTGACAGACGGCCGCCTTTGGGGGATGCTCCCCTGGTAGCTGCGCTGGTATGCCGAGAAAATGAGAGACTTCATCGCTTCCTCCGTGAATCCCCGTAGCGAGTCGTCCTGCGGGTCTCGATTGTATCCCGATATGCAATCTCCGAGGATGATTCCAGGCATTTGTGCGTAGAAAGCTATCGTTCCGAGCCAAGACGGGGCTCGTTCCATCAAGCAGAAAGCTCTGAGAAAACTCTGCAGACACGAGGTCATAGCGTGAGCTCTCGAGGCAGCGCTCTCCTCCGAGGGTGCTTGCTCGAATCCGGAGATAACAAGCGATGGCCCCTCTTCATGAACTTATCTGATCGAGAGTTTATCGAGCTTTCGAAAGTCTAGCCTGAAATTCCGATGGGACCTGAATGGTCAGACCATAAGCGGGGAAAATTGTCCTACAGCTCCGCACGAAACTTCCGAACTTGACCAACCAGCATCGTAAACCTCGAACGGTTCGATCGATTAGGCGACTCCGATCGACTTCCTTTTTTGTGTTCATGATCCCGTTTCTTATCGAGTCAGAGTCATTAAAAATTGCTTTGTTTATACTCGTAGGCTTGCCTCAATCGGAATGTTATCCTAATTAATTGGTCAGCGGAACTATCAAAACAGTACATGCTCACCAAGATCGGAGCCGCGGGTAGGAGCTCTGGTGTTTGCGGATGGGGAGAAAAGCATCTTCTCGGTGCTCCAAGAAGACGGCAGGGACGAATTTTGCGATGACCGACTGGTTGACTGAAATATTGAGTGACTGGCTCCAGACCCAGGTGGAGACTCAAGCGCCCTGCTCACCGACATGCACTCCACCCTGCGACGATCATCTGAGGCGCGATTGTCGACCTTTGCCCGCCAAGCTCAGTTGTACGGAGAGTGTTGTTGGAGGATGGTGTCCATGCGGATGCCCGGATTGTTCGGCTGATATTTTCAAGTGCTTGTGACTCCGTCCGTCTTCGAATGCCTTCTTCTTCCGATAACCCGTTGTTCTAGATTAGGCGAGGCTTGCTTACAGAATCGACCAAGTTGAAAGCGCTGCTCGTTGTCCACGCATTCGAACATTTTACCTGGACAGCGAAGTCGACAGCAACACCTGCAACCGCCTCTGATTCAGTATGCTTCCTTGATGGGAGTTCTCCCCCCGGCCGCGATAATCCGATCGACTCTGGTTGCTTTGGATGCTATCCAGCTTTCAAACCCCCGAAAGTCGTCTCGTGACACTTTCTACGAATTTCTCCAGGCAACGGCTGTCTAGAATCGACAACAACGTCAGACTGGGGTCTGATTGGGAGACCCGTCGAGTTCCAGAGTCGTCGATTCTTCGAAATTTTCGATTCGAAAGGGAGAACCCATCCAACCTCGACTCAATTACTTGTCTCAGAGCCTACGATGTGAAATCTCCAACAATCGCTTCCGAATTTCGGACATTGTCGTCCGATTCTTTCCGAACTATCACATAATTCGTCCGAGGCCGACACCAGATCTCTCGACGCTGTCGCGCTGATTGTGGGCGTTAGGTTCAGGAGAATGATTTCATCTTCCTCTGACGTGAAATTCGAGCTCCCATCGCGAGGGAAGATCCCGGCGCGCCGCAAGTCTGGCGGTGGTACCTGCCATACAGGAAGTGGAACCCAACACTGCTGAAACGAGCCACAGAAACCCTGATTCGAACTCAATACAAATACGTAAAGGAACATTCGCTTGACCTGCATCGACATGGCTCGCCGACTTCACGACTGCATGGAGGTCTGCTGTAATCCAATACGCGGAGGTAAGTAATGAATCCGGCTGGCTGAGATGGCCACTCGCGAAGATTTGACAGAGTGGCTGTCAAGTATTGTAGTCAAAACTGGCGGACACGCGGCTAATCTGCAAGCGAACTGCCAAACGAGCAAACAAATAGATGGACCGCTCTTGCCACGGATAATTTCACGGG